CATTCAGAGATGTTACAGTTAACATGATTGTGGGCCCCTGTGATAAGATGATGGGCAAGCAGGACATGAGTGATTAGTTCATCTTAGTTTGAGAGGCTATGCAGAGCATTTATCTGTTATATAAAGGGATTCTCTTGACCACCTTCACCTGAAGAGTTCCTTGATTTAAGTTTCACGCATCTTTATTTGGGGGCCTGGAGCCTACGGAAGAAGTAAATCCTAGTTGACTTGTATTCAGTCAATAGCTCGCCCCTCTGGACTTTGGATGATGTTTTGTAGTTGGTGATAATAATTACTGCAATCACATGAATTTTTAAGAATATAGTATATTTCTTCTTTAAAAAAAAAAAATCTGGAGCCAGGCACAGTAGCTCATGCCTTTCATCCCAGAACTCTGGAGTCAGAGGCAGGCCTATCTCTGTGAGTTCAAGGCCTGCCACGTCGATAAACAAGTTCCAGATAAGCCAAAGCTACACAGTGAGACCCTGTCTCAAAAGAACAATAGTAATCTGCAGAGCAAATGTGGTTGTGTGCCTAAAATCCTAAAACTCAGGTGGATAGGTAAAGATTATGAGTTCAAGGCCAACCTGGACAACATAGAGAATTCTGGTCTCAAACCGGTCTCAAAATAAAGAAACATCAATAATAAAATTTGTCTATAGATGGGAATTTTTAGGTAAATATAACTACAGTATAATCTGGTATTATGCTGTATGCAAACAAGTGTGTTGTGATTTAGCTGGAAGAGCTTTACATTTTCTTTCTCTGTGAGTATGGTGTGTGTGTGCGTGAGCATGTGTGTGGAGTATCATGTGTGCATGAGTGTTTTTTGTGTATGTTAGTGCAATACGCATGTACCACTGCAGATGTGTGGCGTCAGAGGACAGCCTTGGAAGTTGGTCCTCAACTTCCACCTTGTTTGAGACAAGGTTTCTTTGTTGTCTGCTGTGTCAGATGGGTGAGCCCTGAACCTCTGGATGCTCTTGTCTGTGCCACCCACCTCACTTTACACAACAAGGATCTCAGACAGGTACCAGGGCTTCCAGCCTTCTGTGGGCTCTGGGGCTGGAACTTGGGTCTTTTTTCTTGTGTGACAAACACGTGACCTACTTTGTGTGCCAAGCATGTGAACCATCATTTCCCGATCCCTAGCTGGGATTTTTGTAAAAGTGAGACTGCCATACTTCAATGACTATTATTGTCAAGGATGCATAAATGCAACTTAAAAAATTACTGAAATCAGAGCTCTCTCATTTAAAAAATTTCCCTTAAATATCTACGCTTCCTTTTGGAAGAAATCTCCACTCTAATTTGCAAGCTACTTGATGAAAAATTTATTTATGCCATTGTACTGGATAATTTTTCTGTTTTTGTGATTATTTATTTTTAATTATTAAAGGCATGCTCTACCATGCCTGGGCTTGTTTTTGGCTTTTTGAGACAAGGCTTAACTCTGTAGTCCAAACTGGCCCAGGCTAGTGTTGAATTCAACGTATTCCTCCTGCCTCAGTCTCTCAAGTCCTAGGGTTACAGGTGTGAGATACCACGCCTCATCTATAATGCCATCTTGAAAAAAATCGGAATTGGGTGGTTTATTATTCATGGACTTCTGAGAGATAATTGTAGGAAATGACATCAGTGTCATGAACGCGGAGCCTTCTGGAAGTCACACTTTGGTTTGGTTGTGTCATCCTGTGTTGCACGCTTCCTACTATAAATACATCAAAAAGTTCTCCGGGGTCAGTTCTAGCACAGACTGCAAAGATCCACCACATCTTCCATTCCCTCAATTATCTCCTAGCTGTCCATTCTGCTTGTTTGTTCTTAATTCCTAATTACTGACGGGTCTTAACTGGCCTGTTTTCACTGCTTATTGTTCTCATTGGGTGTGTGCGGCCATGTTCTGTCGCTTATTACTGGGGATGTTAGTTAACAGTACTGCTTAAACACCTTGCCCTTTCTGCTTCAAAAGTGAGGACCAACACAGAACAACAGAAGGTCTGACTGATCTGGAGTTTTCCCGGACTGCCCTAACTCCCTGGGAATAGTGGCATGTAAGACTGGACACCTGGCCACAGTTGGCTAATGGGGGGTGGTGAGTGTGCTTAAAGTTCAGAGACTAAACCTTTGTTTAGAAACCTTTGTTTCTAAACCTTTTCTTTTAAATTTAACTTTTATTTACATGTATGCGTGTATTTACGTGTGTGACTGTGTGTATTTACGTGTGTGACTCTGTGTGTGACTGTGTGTGTGTGTGT